TCAGGGGTTGGAATTTCCGAAATGAGCATTTATTTCACAGAAGGCTTGGCACAATGAGGCTGGGGTGATGTAGTTTCAGTGATTGTTCTTGGTTGCCTCCTTTGCTGCAGCAGTCAGTGGAGTGAGACTGGAGAGGGGGATAATTTTTTTTGATCATTACATCGGTTTTACATCAGTTACATCAGCCCTGAGAAGTAAAATGACAAGTAGTGTTATCCCTTATTTTGCAGAAAAAGAAAATGAGACCCAAAAAGATTTAACTTGTTCAGGGTTCCTTATCCAGTGAGATATAAAATGAGCAATGGAACGCAGGCCTTCTGACTCCTAATTCAGTGTCTGTTACAGTATTGGTAACTATTTAGATTTCATGTAATTTTGATCTAATAAGTGCCAATTTGTTTTTGTGTTCCTTTTCCAGAATCAAGTTCTTTTCTTCCTCAAAGACATTTTTGATTTTGAGAAGGTGCGCTATTCCAGTATAGAGACTTTGACTGAAGACCTCATGCAGTTACTGATCCGCCGCACCGAACTCCTAATGGCCTACCTTGGAGCCGATGCCCTGAGGCACACGAGTAGTTGTCTAAGTACTCATGGTCATGTTATGTCCAGTGGCCTGCTGGAAGCCAAAGTACAATAAGTACCGTAAAAGTCAGACAATTTGAGTGTGCTATGAAATATCTCAAGGTAACTATTGATTTGTTACATATGTGACACAGAATTGGTCGACCTGGACTCAGGGAGGGAAAAAAAAAATCTAGTAAAGGATGAGTGACTGTACTGTACTTACACAGAAGTTCTGTCATTGAATCCCTGTGTAGTGTATCCAAAGTGTCTTTTTATAATCTTTAGGTAATAATCGTTGTGAAATGTTGTATATTTTACAGAAATATTGCTTGAATTGAAACCAGTACTTGGGAATTAATGGATTTGTCGTCTTGAAGCTGTCTGAAATGTCCAGTTTCACTCTCAAAAGCTTTGTTTTCGTGCTTTGTACCGTAAAGATAGATACTTTAGCCAAGACTTTTGTGGCCCACACATGCAAGAATATATTGCGCGTAGTGTCAACAAACGTAACTTTGCCTGGAGATGTAGTTTTACTTGTGATGTCATTCATTGTTTAATCACGGTCAGGCAGTAGTGGCGTTGAACATGTGCTGCTGACGTTCCTGCTTGTGCATGTGCTTGAGTATTTGAATCAAAGACACCGTAATGGCTGAGTATCGTTATAAAACATTTAAATGAATTGCCACTGAGAAGTTTATAAGTTTATATTAGATTTACTGCAGTTCCCAAAATATATTACTGTTGATCCTATAAGTTAGACTGAAGACTTTTTCTTTTATCTTGGTATACATGAGAGCATTTCCCTTCAATAAATAATGGTTAAAAATAGAACATTTATTAACTATGACAGGCAGTTATTGTAGTTTTGAAACTATCTCCCAACCACTGAAGGTATGAATCTTGATACAGTAAAATCATTTCTTCTTTCTCTTTCTACAAAACTGGCTTTTAATTATTTCCACAGAGAACTTAGCACACTGGGAATTTGTCATATTATGCCCATATTTTAGAAATATTCATACATTGAATCTTACAGAGGTCTTAAAGAAGGTTTTTTCTGCCCTGAATATAGAACAGAATATTTTTTAATGGTATAGAAGTGTATTTCCTGTCCTTCAGGATACATAGATGTGTATCTATGAGGTATATAATGAGGTATTCACATGAGTAAGGTTCTTCAGAGTATATTAGATATTTTCAGAGTTGTATTAATTTTGTGTCTAAATCGTATGCCACTATTTAGAGTGGCTGACTCAGTATATCATCAGTGGATTGGATTTGTTGATTTTGCTCCTAAAGTAGGCTTTACTCATTTTAGGAGTGAGTTACCAAGAAGGATCTAAAATATATTTTTTTAAAATGTATTTTTAGATTAAAGTGCCTAGTTTCTGATTAATGAATAGAAAATGAAAAGTGGAGGAAAAGCATAATCTTTTAAGGTTTTAAGTTTATGTATGTAATATTATGTAATATTAGTTACAAAATAGGAGGTTCAGAATCCTTGTGCTGTTTGCACGTACTGTGTTCTGTAATGTATAGGTTACAGCATTAAACAATATGAAACATTGCTCTAATATTTTTTGACTATATAGCTCCTTGACTTTTCTTACCTATATTCTTAATTTAACAATTGGCTGTTCAGAATTCTTAATTTTTCCTGTATTTTAGCTTCTTGTTGAGGTGCCACTGGCCTTGAATGATTCACACACATACCCACACGTGCACGCACACCCGTCCCTTTATTGTGTAAGCAAGATAGTTATTGCTTACGTTAATTTTCCTGGTTGGGGGGGGCTGATGGTTTTAATTCATGTTTTAGGCTGTGGTTTTATAAACAAACCTATAAGGAAACTTAATTACTTCTTTTATTTGAGGAAGATACTGTTTGAAGTCTGTTTTGAAGAATTGCACTATTTAATAATGCTGCTACTATGAAATAACCTGGGGAATTTCATCAGATAAGATGAATGACCTTCCAAAAGGTGTTTTTTTCCTCCTTTACACTTCACCTTGAAAAAAAAGTTGCCCATATTTAAGAGATTGGTTTGTCGAATTCAGTGCTTGAGTTTCAGGTCAGTTCAGAAGCAGCGCTTTAGTAAGATGCTTTCTTTGTGGCCTTTGACAAGAGACAAGAGTGACCAAATAGACTTTCAGGGTAGTAAGTACAGAAAAAAAATCCCTCTCTGTTGTAAGGGGAGAAACTTGACCTTTCTAAAGAAACCTCTCTTAAAAATGTTTCTCGAAAGAGAAAAATGTTTCTGAGCACAGAAGAGTACTTAAGGCATATGGACCAATTTCAGTTTGCCTAGAAATGGGTTTAACAGCTAAAGCAATGTTTTAAAAAATAAAAAAGAAGTAAACTAGTCTAGGGCCTTTTAGGATAAAATCCTGTTTAGCACTTTCATGGTAGTATTATCAGAAAATTGCCACTGTTACCATGAGTCCTACCATCTGCTTCCCTGTATAAATTATAAGAGCCTTGAATGAGTCCTCAGAAAATGGCTTTTTTTCCTCCTATTTTTTGGAAGGAAAAAGATAAGTGTTCAGGTGATTTATATTTGGTGATTTTTTTTTTCTATTTTGGTTTCTCTACATTTTTGTTAAACTGAAAGCCTAGTTATTGATTCTTGAAGGCTTTATGGTATGTTTATTAAGTGTCAAAATGGGTTTTTTTAAAAAAGGCAAGTTTTTCGTACTGTTATAGTCAGCTCCAAAGAACTTTCTCTCTCATAAAGAAGTATTTTTTATTTGCATCCATTTATTATGTTTCTATTAATTTGCTGAATTAACTGACTTTATAAAAAATATTTACAAGCTTTTTCTTGCCTTAAGATGTTAGATGTTCTATTTAAATGATTACCTAAGGGGGGATTATTTGCATTAAAAAGAATTCTTCTGTTTATCATTCCTTTAAACCCGTGAGATAGGAATGCCAAAGTAACATTTAATATACTTCTCTGTGACTTTTCATAATCAAAAAATTTAAATTATGTTCATAACATAATTTGCTTTTATTTTAATGTGAATGCATATTAGGAAATTATTTGGAATATACATTTCAAAGTGATAAGAATTAGGCTGAATTAAAATCTTTTTTTTTTGCTTGGATTAATCAAATTTAGAAATATCTCTGTATGTGAGACTCAAGAATTTGATCTGTGATTAACTGAAATGAGGGCATACATTCTTTGTTCCTAATGATTATGTTATGTTATTGTTTTGCTTAGTTTGAGGACAACCACATATTAGCTTTACCTGGCTGGTATCAGTAGATGTGTCTGTGTCCTAAATGTAAGGACTGCACTTGTTCTGTAAAAGTGAAACACTACAGTGGCGGAAGAGAAGAGCGCTGGCTCGTTAGCCAGAGTGAGCGCTGTGACCCGGATGTATGTCTACTGCTGCCAAATAAAAGAGTGATGGTGCATCTTGCTGCTGGATTGCCTGTTTTATACAACGCTTACAAGGTCCCACTTGTCCCGTCAGACCCTGCTCACTGGGAGCTGTCAGTCTCCTTTAAGACCACATGTATCTGCATTGAGAACACAGACAACTGCAGAGGCCTGGAAACCAAGTATAAAAGTGTATGTTTTCTTTCTGTACTGACTGCGAGAGAAAACAGTTTTGTGATGAGTAAAGTCAAAATATTTGTGTTTTTATTAATCACAGAAAGCGTTCTGGTTGAACACAGTACAGATGTATCATTCCGACGTACGTGCATCTGTCCCTGTTCAGACATACCCCTTGCCCACCACTTCCTGGCGAGGGCTCAGATGCACTGAGCCACAGAGAGGGATGAAGACACCAGATAGCGGGAAGGGCTTCCCTGCGTATAAAAATTCTTGATTTGGGACTTCCATTGAAGAGATTTATTTTCGAATAATTAAACATGCACAGTATAGATAAATGTACCTGATTATATTTTAAAACTATTAAACATAAACTTAAATATAATACTCAATAAGCAGACCACACAAATATGAGTTAAATCTTTTCCCAGCAAGGATGCAGGCTTGGAGATGGAGTGGGTAACCAGACCTGCATCCCAGTCTCATCTTCTGTTTCCTTTGTCATCTGCCATCCTCTTTGACCCTGCTACATGAACTTAATATTTTGCAGTTTAAACAGATCTCTTTGAATTTTTATGTGTGTTTAAAATACTCCTCTGCAAGCATTTCAGTGTCCTATTGTTACACTCTTTGTAGGGCTTTGCTGGAAATTTTTGTGAACTTACTTGGTTTATCCACTGTCTTTCTCACAGTTCTTTTGCTGCTTTGACTTCTGTTTTTTATGGAGCGTTTCTTCCTGTGCCCTGTATGCTGTGATACCTCACCCTGCTACTTCTTCTCCTTTAATCTCTCTCTCCTTAAGCTACTGACATCTTTGATCAGGCCGCACGGCTCTTTTGTCTGCTGAGGTTCTTTTTTTGTTTTTTTTTTTCCTACCTTTGAATGGTGAAAACCCTTAAGTAACCTTTATCATTTGGGCAGGAAAGGACTGAATTCCAGTACAGGAAAAAAAAAAAAAAAGCAAACCTTCCTTCTATGATGCTTTTTTATTCTTTACTTAAAAGCCACAGCAAGGCAACTGGTACATCAAATACCACCTCAGCGATTTGCTTTTAACTGTCCCCTATGTGTGTCACAAAAGCCTTTCACAAAGTATACTTATATATAGGACATTTCAGAACCTTTGTAATTTGCTGCTTGAAAAACACCGTAATACTTGAATATAAAGAACTTTGACATTAGAAAGCACTTGAAATGTAAGACTTCTAGAACTTTGCTAATTCTTTTATTTAATAACCTCTGTCAGAGAATCAGCCCCGGGACTTTAAAAAGGACTGAGTGCTTAATATGGTAGATGGATAATGAAAAAAAAAAAGTAGGTTAAAGCAGGTGCATTTGTGATCTTTGCTAACTATCCCCAAATTTAGCAGCTTGAAGCAATGCACATCATCTCAGATAGTTTCTGAGGATTGGGAATTTAGGAATGGCTGGCTCTGGGGGTCCTGGCTTAGGGTCTCTCCTGAGACTGCAGTCATCTAAAGGCTTGACTCGGGCTGGAAGATTTGCTTCCAAGATTTGCTCACTCACACGGTTCTGTCAGGGGCTTTAGGTCCTTGCCACGTGGGCCTCCTAACAGAGCTGCCTGCGTACTTAGAACATGGCAGCTGGCTTCCCCCAAAGTGAGCAGTCTGAGAGACATCAAGGCAAAAGACACAGTATATTTTATAACCTAGACTTGAAAGGGACATACCATCACTTGTGCCATATTCTCTTAGTCACACAGACCAACCTTCACACAATGGGGAGGAGATTACGCAAGGGCAGAAATACCAAGAGGTGGGATCATTTGGGGTCATCTTGGTGGCTGGATATCACAGCAGGGAATCATAATAAATTGAACATAGATAATATAGACATTTTAATTTTAAATGAATTCATGCACATTCTTTGGCCAATCTTTTGATGTGGGGTAAAGGTCTACTTGGAGTCTGGATCTACTCCCTATTCTGAGATCTTTTTTGCATAAACTATACCTCTAAACAGTCATCTGAGATTTCCAATTTCCCTTACTTTTGAAGGAGAAAAAATGTATATGAAAAGCAATGAGTGCCAAATCCCTGTAGGGTTTCATAATTTTCTACCCACTCTTTCACATTTGTCTTCCCTACACCTAGCTTAGTGGTAATTTTTATAAGCTATTTGCCTTTATCAATTCTTCAAAGCATTCAGTGTAGATTTTCTAAAAACTATTTTTGCTTTTGTATTTCTTCCTTTTTGTAATGTTTATGTCATTTCAATAACATACAACTGATATACAAGTTTGAGAACAATTGATTCATGATAAATACACAAGGAATATTTGCACAAATTGGCAACTCGTGGATTTCTCATAGTCTTCTCAAATTTAGTATGTCTAAAACGGAGCTCCTGACCACACCTGCCCAAACCTTCTCCCTCCAGACTTTCTCATCCCAGTGAATGACAACTCCATTTTCCAGTTCCTCAGACCAAGAACTTCTTTTCCTCATATCTCACATGTAGTCTGTAACCAGAATCCTAGCAGTTCTACTTTAAAAAAAAGTGTACTAATAAAAAAAATAGTGCTAAGCATTTCTCACTACTTCAGAGCTATCACCTTGGCCCAAACTCCCATAACCTGTCATCCTGATTATTTTGGAAGCCTCCTAACTGGTCTCCCTGCTTCATTTAGTGCGTTTGCAGCACAACAGCCAGAGTGAACACGTTAAAAATATGTCACATCATGTCCTGCTTTGTTCAGAATCCACCAGCGGCCATCCATCATATTCAAGAGTAAAAGCCAAAGTCCTTACAATGTACGAAAAGGTTCCTCACAGTCAGCCTTCTGCCCCAGTCCACTTCATATTCCTTTCCCCTTTGCCTGCGCTTCCTAGAACATGTCAGACAGGGACCTTCTTGGGGCCTTTGTACCTCCTCCTGTACCACTCTTCTCCCACACAGCCCCAGGAATTTCCAGAGCTCATATGTGCATGCATCTCCAGATATTTCCATGGCTCACTGCATCACTTTCCTCAAGACTTTTACTCATATAAGACTTTAAATTCTACCTGAAAGCACAACAGCCACGCACTCCATTTCCGGCATTTCCTACTTTTCTGCTCTGGTTTATCTATACTGCTGATCACTAAGTACTGCTAGTTCATTTATTTGCTTATTGTCCGGCCTCTTCTACTCAAACGTATGTCTCATGGTGGCAGGGCTTTTTGTTTTGTGATGGCTGTATAGCACTCAGTGTCTAGAAATGAATATTTGTTGAATGAATGAATGATGAATTGAGGACAGAAGTAGGTGTTGCATGCTGTGGGTAACTTTCAGAGTTAAGTAGGAAGAATGGAGATATTTGTTGTATCTGGTGAAACTGTCGAGTAGAAATCAGTTAAGAGAGCCTCTACTCACTTCTTTAAGTCATAAGAATAAATGTATAATTATAAATTGATAAATGTAGGGAGGAAATGGGTGGAATGAGAATTTATCACAGGGAGGACCAAGAGAGACTGGGGTGAAAGGAAGGCTTCTCTGAGAAAGCAACACATAAGTGGACAGCAAAAGCATATGTTGAAGTTAGGTGAAGAGTTAGGGGAAAGAGAATTTTATGCGGAGGGGACAGCTTGTGCAAAGGCCCTGCAGCTGGAATGACCATGGAAAATTCCGTAAACTGAAGAAGGTCAAGGTGATGGTATTGAAGGGAGCAAGGGAGTGAGCCAGATCATCCAGGCCATCCATCACTATCTGTATTAGAGAAGCTGAAACAGCTGTTTTAATTACCAATCTAGAACTTTGAAGAATGAAGGACTTTTACCTCTTAAAAGAATTCCCATCCTGAGTAGATAGTGCATGGGGATGGGGTGGAGAAGGAAGGTTACATGGTTAAGACCAGAAGGCCTTCCAATATCTCTGAAAATACAACCTGAGCACCACTGTCCACCCAGGGCTGGAAGTTGAAGGTGGTCGTCCGTGGTTTATCTGTGGGTGGTAGCTCAATTTTGCTAATTCCCTTATTCATTAATTAAATTTGTATTTATCTTATGCATGCAGTGAACAACTGAAGATCTTCCCCGACCAGGAAAATGTCCCCTCTGGATGAGTATTTCAGGTTTTAATATAGGTTGTCTGATGGGCCTAGGCAGGTTGTATTCGCAAGATGCCTTAATGTAGGTTTAGAAAGACCAGAGATGATTTGCCTTCAATTAAGGAAAATTGGAAGATTATATAAATATTATTTAAAAAAATGTCTCCTCCTTCCCCACCTCTTTCTCCTCTGTATCCTCCACTTTTCTCTATCAACCACCCTCTTTGGAGTTAAACCAGAACCAAGTAACCGAGAGCAACAGACGGATGAAGCGGTCTCCCGTCGGCTGTCCTCTGCTCTTAGCAATAAACGTAAGGTTGGCCAAGAGTCAACGGTTTGGGTGAAGGTAGTGGCTCGGCTTCTTAGAAACCGGGACCTGTAGAGTGGCTGAGAGGTGGGCCCGGCGCAGACCGGCGGTGGGTAGGGGGAGGCAGCTGCAGCCGCTTTATGCATCCCACTCCAGGATCTCTCGCTTCCCGCAGGCGAGGCAGCCTCCTTTCCTCGGACCCCGCCGGAGCTGGAGGCAGACCCGAGGGGAGGGGGAAGCTCAGGGACCCCGAGCCGACCCAGGGCGACGGGCAGGTCTGGCGGAAAGTTGGCCGCCACCGCCCCCCTCGTCCGCCTTCCTCCTCGACTCTCCACCCCTCTCCGGGCGCTCCGGCGGAGGCGGGGGGTTGGGGGAACTGGCCTTGTGTTTTGGAACAGCTGCAGCCGGCGCTGGG